AGATATAGGGCATAACCTCAACACGCGTAACACTCATCCTGAAACTATGTCCAGCTGTACGCCATGCAGTAACCTCCTCGTAGACTAGCAAATTTCCATCTTTGTTTCGACTGTTGTTAACCGCACTGATGCTCATGATGACATGGCTTTACAAGTTAGTATGGGGTTAGGCAGAATTAGACATGCTACATGGAAAGGTCGACATGAAGTTACTAAACTAATGCTCTGTCTCATTTAATCTCAGCCTATAATATAGCGACTCTGATATATGCGACAATACTTTCTCGCAACGATACGTCGAGTTTCCGGAGTTATATACAAGTTCGGCAACGGCTATAGCGAAATCAGTAGCCTAGGAAAATCGGCTCATAACTACGTACATCCAGGTTCATCTGCATCCTGATTTTTTAATAATTCAAGTTTTCTACTGACAAGGCAAATATATTCGCCAGACGCGCGCACTTTACTTCAGGCTCTATCACATATTTGCTGGTCTTTGAGGAATCGTGCTACAGGAATTCGTGATGTCGTCTTGCACTAGGCTTTTTCACTGATTAGCTCGTGTTTGAAACCAGGGAAACTTTCTGCGAGTAATGCGATTCCCGCCTGACGTGTACTGTAAACTGAACCAGAACCTCGCGCGCATAAGAGAGCTTCTGCAATACCGAGAGAAGATACAGCTAGCTTACTCGTAATCGCTGCCGCACGTTCAGCCATTGATATTAATTTGTTCTGTTCTTGGCACTCCTGAGGCGTATTTTGCTGATCGTAATAACGGCGACTTACTGACTAACTGAACTGACTGACTGACTGAACTAACTGACTGACGACTGAGAGAAGCGCGAGCCCCAACCGCGTCACCGATATGGAGCCGCTATTATCTAGTGTAACTGCGGGACCATTTTTCCTGGTAGCGATGAGCCTTTCTGAATAAGCTGTAATTCAGGAGTGCTAGGATATATTCTGTAGTTATCGTTCTAAGAGGAGGCGGAGTGTGAATGAAGGTGCAATAAGCAATGATAACTGGAATATCAACGAGGGTACTATACAACGTACTTTCGCTGTATCGCGCACCATTATCTAAGAGGGTGGTTGCGTGACGACTGACACAGATCACGCACAAGATAATACTTATAATTATCGCAATTAACGCAATCGAGCGTACTAAAAACGAGAAGTATGCTCCACACAGCATTGAACGCACGTTGCCATCTCGTATTATATTCGTAAACAATTAACCCACTCGGAGTAGTCTTTAATTTCTAATAGAACATGTGTAGGAAAGTATAAATAATTACATCCGAAAACAATCTACTCAGTCATTGATTGGTACACTCACAAAACTGGCAGTGATTTAAATTGTGTCGAAAATTTTTCGGTTTAGCGCAAGCGACTCTCGCGCGTTCTCGCGATAGACTACGATACATAGGCTATATACACTCGTGGTTCAATTTCCGCACATAGCACGTAGTGTTGCTGAATAGGGTCTATGTCCCCCAGGGTGACTGCCGGAACGTAGCCCTGGGTACAGGTCCGGTATACCGGTAAACGTACGCCTGTAACTCAAATTACTTCTATCTAATATGACGGACTCGTAAGCTCGCGCGACTGCCACTAACTGAGTCTAGGGAGTCCGCCTACGCCTACTCCCTAACCCTAGCCCTAACCCTTAACCTAACGCTAATTCTAACCCTAACCTAACGCCTAACACTAACCCTAACCATAGTCAATAGATAGTTATCAGGGTACGTTTCCGGTCATAGCCGGACCGTACCAGGGTACGTTCGCGGCAGTACCCTGGGGGACATAGACCCTATCAGCCGTAAGTGTTTGGCTAATAAGATGAGGTAGCTAATACGCGAAATTCGAATCAGTTCTTGATTTGTGGCGTGCTCGAAATGCCTGGACTGGGCGTCTATCAAAAGAGATTTCGTTACATACTTTGTGGGCATAACTGTAATTTGAGCTCATTAATGTATAGTTATTTTAGATGAACCCGAGGTCTGAGCTGTTGGCGAGTGGAGTGAAACTAAGCATCAACTGGCATTGTTGTGGTATCGCGTGAAAGTCGTGGATGCGTGTGCGTCTGCACACAGTGTACGCTCTAGTTACAGTTACCTCATAGTTATGCGCGAGACATTGCGAGATTATTACGTTAATTTATAAAAAAATGCTGTACGTTGAAGTGTTCGCGCTACGTGAAGGGTAACGTCGTCAATACGTACAAAATGAAAAATAGTTTGAAGAAAGACGCACCAATGCCCTACGGCATGCACAATCATGTCCTACGTGTATACACCATACTAGATCGTGAGGGCTATACGTAAGTCGCAGTCGCGTGCCTGTCGCACAGATGCCCGGCGTAATTTGACAACAAAAAGATAAGGCGGGTGTTTTGGCAAATACGTGGTCAAATCCAATTACCGTACGTACGCCCCAAACTGCCACGTAATATCCTCCGTTTGAAACTCTTAAGCGGAACGCACGAGGAAAATAAGTAAGCCCGCATTATTCTCCGCTGTAATTGGCTGTTCCTGCTGTTGCTCGCGATATAGTTCGCGAGGTTACATGCAGGCAAACTTGTGCACTGGGCGAAAAAAGATGGCGGCACATGCATGCGCACGCTGAACACTAGACCTTCTCTAATTACACGCACGTTTCATACTTCAGCGCAAATTTGCACTTACACCATGATCTTATATATAGTATATATATATATATATATATATATATA